AGTGTTTCAAAACAATACATGAAGAGGAGAAAAAGAAGGAAAACATTTTTAAAAGCATGAGAGTTTTGAGTAGGTGGGTTATACTATTCCTGCTTATGTTCACACTGAGGACACTTTTTAACACAGTTGATTGATGGGTTTAGTGACCCCAGACGGTGTTACTGTGAATCAAGACCAAGTTGTAGAGGTATTTCTCACAGAAAGTTCATTTTGCTCTCATTTATGTCTGTAAACTGTATCCTGATTATACCAGAAACTATATCGACCTATTTTGTTTACAAATCTGATGGTGTTACTGGTAATATTTTCTTGCACACTTCTTATATTTTACCAAAATTAGTTTTAAAATTTGAATAATATGCTATAGTTTAGATTTGTTTGTTTTTCTCCTTGAATGGCTAGATATTTGAGGTGAACATCTGTGTACTAGAAATATATGAATAATTCACTGATCTCTATGACACACATAATTATGCTTACCCCAAATGTAGTGTCTGTAGCGTCGATAAGGAGAAAGTAGAGAGCTTGTTCTGAGTGAACCAAGTGTTTTTAGTAGTGGTCTACTCTTGGGGTGTAGCGTGTCGCCTGTTGGAGGGACTTCTGACTCCCATCTTTTCCCAAAGAAGGATATTTATTTGCAGGTAGGGTCAAGAGAAGCTTGTAGAGATGCTGAATCTCACTGGAACCTTGGGGGGCCAGTTTTCTCTCAACTGAAGCATTCAGGCAAGGCACCCAGAAATTGTGTTTTTAATGCCGTAAGTCCATCCATAAAGTTATACTGGGACCCAAACATTGTATTATTCCTATGTGACACTTTTAGTATAAATACAAAATAGGTTTATTGTGAAAATTTCTTTAACATTTTTTTTTAAAGTTGTGCATTAGGCACAAAGTGTTTTACTCAAGAGGTCGGGGAAAGAATGGGAGTTGGTGAATGGGCAACAAGCCTTTAGGAAGTAAGAACTCTGCTCTCCTTCTCATGCGGTCTTCCCTGCACTCACTGATTGCTTGCAGTTTCTGTTTCGTGGTCTTCAGGGAAGAGCCCTGTGACCGACAGGATCAGAAAGCACCATATTGCGTGTTATTTTGGTCCTTACTTTGTACTTTGTTGTGCTACTTAGTGCCAGACAACTGCATGTCAAATTACCTCCATGGTTGTATCTATGTTTGTAAAGTGGGGCTGGTTACTATGGTGGCCTGGAGTCTAGGAAGTAAGCTCAATCATCAACAGACATTGTTAGCTATTAACAATCCTATTAATTATTCCCATTTTATAGATATAAAAACCGTGGCTCAGAGATGATAATAGTTCACTTAATAGTAAGTATTGGAGTCTGTCTGTTCTGTGAACATTCATCTGGTTCTACTCTGGGACACACACACACACACACACACACACACACACACACACACACACACACAGTATTTGAAATGCTGGGAATATAAAGATGAATTTGGCACAATCTGGCTCAGAGTTTGATGCACAAAACAGAAATCTCACTGGATAGTTGCAGAACATGTGGATTTAGTACAGGCAGTTACAGTTTAAAGGACTCAGGGAAAGAGTGGGCCAGGCGCCGTGACTCAGCCTATCATCCCAGCACTTTGGGAGGCTGAGGCAAGAGGGACTGTCTGAGCCTGGGGGTTTGAGACCAACCTGGGCAACATGGTGAGACCTTGGCTCTACAATAAATCACAAAAAAGTAGCTGCGTCTGTAGTTCCAGCTCCTTGGAAGACTGAGATGAAGGATTGCCTAAGCCCAGCAGGTCAAGGCTTGCCACTTGCCGTGAGCATACCACTGCACTCCAGCCTGGGCCACAAGAGTGAGACTCCAACTCCAAACAAACAAAAAGAGCTGGAGCAGTGGAAGCTGAGGAGTACTGCTACTGAACCCTTGCTTTTGAGGCCACACTCTTGCAGATGAATTTCAGAAGTCAAGAAAGTACAATGTCCACCCTTGCTCCTGCTGTCCCCGTGGCCTCTCACCTCCCAAGTGACATCTAGAAAGAGGAAGGTGGGGTCCAGTGACTGCCACCAACAACTGCCACTGTGACAGAAAGGTGGCCACTGCCTCCCTTTGGTCCTCCAAATCTTGCCCAGGTGCATCTCGGGGGCAGAACTCTCTCATTTGGAATCATGGGGTTAACCTTCCATCCCCTGCCCTGTAGGAGGGGAGGGACATGACGTGAGTGGAAATGGTTTGCAGACCATGCACCAACAAGCCATAAAGGACACATCACCTCGGTACTCAGAAAGCTCGCAGTTGAGTAGTGGAGGCAGACAGACCGAAAGACAATTTCAGGGTCACGTGGCAAGTGCACCATTGACTCGGGCACGGGACTGATGATGGTAGGGTGGGCTTTCACAGGCGAGGAGTGGGTGAGACGTGAGAGCGGGGGCCAAGGGACACTTCCTGGAGTTGGTGTTCTTTGAGCTAAATCTTGAGGGATTCACCAGAGCAGATCATACAAAAATGGAGGGAAGGCCATGGGAGGCGTCTGGGAGAGAACAGAGCTGACAAGCTCGGAAGCAGCATGGTGACCCCGGATATGAAAAGGTGGCAGCGAGGGATCAAGCAGAGGGGAGAGTGGGTTTTGGGTTTCACTGGGATCACATTGGCATCTGGTGGAGGCGGCATCTGAACGCCATTGAGGCAGGGGGCTGATATTGCAAGATTTGGGACATGGTTGGAATAGAGGAAGATCACAGTGAGGAAAAGGAAGAAATCAGGGATGACGTCCTTGTTCTGGACGTTGATGTCTGAGAGGTGGCACAAAGGCAGCATTTTAAGCCAGATCTACAGGATTGGAGAGTCAGGCTCTCTCTGCTCTTCACTCTACCTCAACTGTGATTTGGCGCTTACCAAGTATATCTAAAGATGTGTCCAAGAAGGCCCAAGACGTGTGCAAGTTGCTTGTGCATGTGCACATATTTATTTTTTCAAGAGAGAGGCATGACCTCATGAATTCTCAAAGTTTAAAAGCCACTTGAGCTGAGAATTTTGGCTTGATAGCTGGTGTTCATTCAGTGTTGTTCTAGAGATCGAATGGTCATTGAGGAGTATACTTTAAAAACATATTAAATGGTTCTGCTTCAGGCAGTGCAGCAGTTAAAAAATTTTAAAGATTTTCCCGCCATAAAGTACCAATATGTTGGGCCCATCATAACAAAATATTTCCGGGTGCATTTTTAAACTCTTAGGAACATGAGACAAGTCCCTCGCTCATAACAGAAATCTACAGGAAAAAACAGACGGTAGGTGAAGCCCAGGTGGCTCTGGAGACAAATATTAAGTGCAGGAACCTAGGGCTTTAGAGAATGATGGTTGCCTGGGTTGTGGCGTTCTCAGGAACAAAGATTAGGCTTGCACACATTGGGGACAAGTGGGAAACTGGATGTGAGGCCCTGAATTCTTCGAGGTGTCACATCCTTAGGGAAGGCTTGTGCTAAGAAAACCCTGCTGGGCAGGAGACCTTTAAGGAAACCTCTTTGTCACTCCCATATCCAGGTAAAAAAAAAAAAGAAATAATAATAATAATTGCATAGGAATTTGTCTTGGTAGTCTCTTTATGGTTTATATATATATACACAATTTATTTTATTTTTATGTATAAAAAATTCATAACTTAAAAACATACTATGTTTGCATTTCTACTGGATTCATATTTACTATTGTAATGACTTCTTCATGAATGAAAATACATATTTGTAAAAGAAGACATTGGCATAAGTAAAAGTTTTACCTTTAATTATTTTTACTTATTTTTTGAAGTACTCTTGCTTTGTATATGCTAGTCTCAGAGACAGAGATTGCTTTGCAAAATATGTCCAGCAGCTGTGCAAATTAATTTGTAAAACCACAAGATGAATTCACTAATGCTCAGTGTCCCAAATGAAAACAAAACTTTTAATGGGGTTATGCCGTGCATGGTTTTGGCCAGAGACTCTTATCCAAGAGAACATTTAAATAAAATTTTTAAAACGACAGTTATTTCAGATTCTTTTCTTCTGTTCCTGCTCGTGTTCTAAATAAAATAAAAAAGAATGCCCAGTGTTTTGATGCCACTTGAGAGATGCTTCCAGTGGTTTAGTTTTTTAAAAGACCTTTGTAGTCAGTTCAATGTGGATTTTGAACTAGTAGCAAGAAGTAAGTTCATGTGTGTGGGATCCTTAACGTACTCAAGTGCAGTGTCAAATGTTGCCACTCGTTTGACTTAAGGATCTTTTTTGTATTTTGGAGTGGGCGAGGGATGCACCTTTGTAATCACAGGTAGGGAGAAAACATTTCTCTGCATCACTTCAGATTCAAAGCTTCTGAGTTCTTGCTGAGGGAAGGCTGGCGTTATGGTAGTCTTTTCTCCTGTGGGGTGAGCTCAGAGAGTTTTGATTTTCATTTAACCTAATGAAATGCATCCCAAGTTTCTTATAATGCAACTCTAGGTTTTTATGCTGCTGAATGTTTTCTTTATTGTGGTTAAAATAAGGAAAGGAGAATGTTTATAACGAGGTTGATAAAATAATACAATGAAGAGAATAAAGTGAGTTTAGATATCTGACATTGCTCACATTATAGATGACTACATTGGAATGTAACAAAATGTTTAAACTCAAATAGATCTAAATATAATATGAATAATTTAAATAAAACATTTATCCAACACGATTCACTATTTGACAGATCTCTAATGACTTATTTTTGTCTCTTGGCCTGCAATAACTGTTAGCAGTTTTCAGACATAAAATATAACGCTCCTGAAATTCTTATCAGTAATCCACTCCCGAGAAGGATTTGCTTTTATTGCACATTAAGTCATTTACTGTGTGAAAGGTGTAATGTTCAATGTGTCAAGGATCTTTCTTAGCTCTTCCTTTCCTTAATTATGCAGATAATCTCATTTAAGTGTGTGGAATAAGAAATTCGTATGTCATATAACCTCTTCTAAACCTCCTCAGTGTATTAAAGAGTGTTTTGATGACTTTTTTCTCCGTGTTACTCTAGGACAGTTTCCCAGCACGATTTGGAGGAATTCATTTTGTTAATCAACCATGGTACATCCATGCTCTGTACACAGTGATCCGGCCTTTCCTTAAGGAGAAGACTCGGAAAAGGGTATTGTCTCTTGGTTTTTAAATCCTTTCTTCTTCCCATTCATTGAATTATGATGCATAAATGTATATAATACTGACTATGGTACAGTGTACTTCTGTATTATTTATAAATCAACATGAAAGACTTCTGAAATTTCTTGGACACCTGTGGTTAATTCTGAACAGTGTATCTGTGAAAGAAATACTTAAAGTCTAGCTTTCCCACACTTTCCCAAAAAAGGGGAGGGCATTTTAGCACATTCATTATATATGAAAGCTTCAATTTCAAGGTCAAAAACAATCTTTTTATGCCATGTTACTATAGTGTTACTGGGTGCACTTAGCTTGAAGTGAAGTCTAAACAGAATTCGTACTTTTACATGCCAATAAATGGGTGACAGTTATGTTCCAGGATGTGTGGCACCAAATATAGCAAATTTTGTGACATCTAATATAATTTTGTAATGGTTATTATGATCAATTTCACCTTTCAGAAAGAATGTTAATGTGTAGCAATTTTGATATTTTTTTAAATTACAGCTTACTGGTAGTCTTTTTTAACATTCATTTTCTTCTAGCAGTGAGGATAGTCAAAGTACACACAATGGAAAAATTGTTTTTCTGAGATTAAGATAAATTATATAAAGCGTCTAGCACAGTGTACGGCACATGGTGAATACTGAACACATCTTTATTTTTATTAAAAGATGGATTTAAAAAATGCATCTAGGCAAATTTCATTTAGTTCTTACAGCAGCTCTGAAAACTAAATTTAACTGAATGTAAGTCTTATCTTCCTATTTCAGAGCTGAGGAAAGTGAGTCTTAAAATGAATAAGTGACATGCTTACTCATATACACTGCAGAAAAGTTGTAGGGTAAATCTGTGAACCCAGATATTTCGGCTCCCCGTGTAGTGCTATTTTTACCTCCTTGTGCTATATTCAGTTTTTAAATGATTCATAGCCCAGTAAAAGATACTTATTTCTAAATCGACATGGAAGATCATTTTCCATGTTTGTCAATGACCTAGAAGGCATTTCAGGTATTTTAGTGTTGCACAGCCTCATAGTAAGTGTGAAAGTGCAGTGATTATAATATGGGTTCATATCAAACCTTTAGTGAACAGAAGGTTTACCGTAAATGCATTTGTGGAATGTATTTCAGTGTTAGGAATAAGAATTCTGTAGACAATTATAATTTATAGTAAGAATTGTTTCTACCATCAAGACTCTAATTCATATTTTAAACCAGCCTGGGCCACATAGTAAGGCCCTGTTGCTACAAGAAAAAAAAAAAAAAGCTGGTGTGGTGGCACATACACACCTATAGTCCCAGCTACTTGGGAGGCTGAGGTTGGATGTTTGCTTCAGCTCAGAAATTTGAGGCTGCAGGGAGCTATAATCACACCCCTGCACTTCAGCCTGGGTGACTGAAGGGAGACTGTCTCTAAATGAAACAAAACAAAACCTGCAGGGACTTTTAGTACAAATCACAATAGCCAGTGCTTCTGCAGTATCTATATGCCACATGTTGCTGCCCTTGGAGCTTTACATAAGTTAAATCATTTAATACTCACAACAATGCTTCGGGGTAAGTAGTGTTATCTTTCTCATTTTGTAGATGGGAAAACGAGCCTTAGAAGGTTAACCAGTTGGCTCTGAATCACAGCTAGTAGATGATAGAGCTGGATATTTGGGTTATGGCTAAGAGGGTTTCAAGCAGAGGAGATGGCAAAGGCAAATGTCCTTGGGTGGAAACACATCTAGTGGATTTGACAAACAACAAAGCGGCAGAAAGGCTGGAGAAGAATGAACACTATGGGTGAGGATGACAGTTGGTGGGTAGGGCAAACCGTGTTAGGGTGGGAGAAACCAGATTGCGGAGAACCTCAGATACCATTGCCGTGATCTGGGCTTTCAGTTAGAGTGAAATGAGAGGCCTTTGAGGGACTGTGAAGATAGGGGTGATTTGTTTGGACATAATTTTAGCATGATTCTGCTCTTTTGGCAAAAGATCGAAGAGGATCAAGTCTAGAAAACAAGGCATGCACAGGGTTTGGGGGTTTTATGACTGAATCTGACACTTTGATAATGCATAGAAGAATGTGTTGCTAACATTATGCCACATGGAAGGGAGATATGTGAATGGAACCGTTTTAATTAAAATTATATGACTTAGACAATTTCATACGAGAAAACAATTATATGTTAAAATACTTTTAGTTTCTACTTGCATATTCAGTACATGGTGCAAAGCTATTGTATTTCCTCATTGATATGCCGAGTGACTCAGCATCACGATTTTACTCACACACCTTATACTCCAGGTCCTCTTAATCTATGTTCTGAAAAACTGGTCAAAGAGACCCTACAAGAAAACCTAAGAAGCAGTTGCAAATCTTTTTCTGCAAATCCAGGTGTGCAAGACACATCTGATTCGTCAGTTTCTTAAATTACATTAAATTAAAGTAAATTAAATCGAATTTGACTTTGAGTCTCCAACATGTTGGGCGGATAGGAATACCAGCCTTGAGTACTCAAAGTCTCACCAGTATCTGGAATCTTCCATGCAGAGCCAGGCTTCTTCACAGCTTCACATCCATCATGGCTACATCTGGCATCCTCATTGTTCAAAACAGCACGAGTTCCTTGAATTAATGGTCTCCTTCTGCTCCCAAGTTGTCTGTGAAAAAAGAGAATTCTCTCGGAAGCTAAAACCAAGACAGCTCACCATCCCTGAATGACTCCTTGGTTGTGGTCTTGCTACTTCCCGGAAGCTGACAAGACCAGGTTTTGACACTAATTGGCACACATTTCTTCCTCTTTGTCAATATGGTAAACCTCTATGCCTTGCTGATTCTCAAAAGGGTTTGACTCTCTTTCTTCCTAATCCAGGTCTTCTAGCATAATGTCATGCTATAGAAGAATAAAATAAAAAATGGAAGTATTATTCAGGCCAGTGCTTAGAATTGCAAGATATTCAGGGGCAAAGGAGCTCACAAAACCAGACTTCTTGCATGGAATGGAGGAAGACAAAAACAAAAGAACAATATAAAAGCAAAAAGCTTAACAACTGGGCAATTACAGTGCAGCTTTTTTGCCCAGCCCAGAGGTGCAATTCACATGTAAGAGTTCTAAAAGAGTGTCTTCATGTAATATACATATTTGCCAACAAATCTTTCCTTTGGAGAAACAGCATTATCATATTTTATGAATCATCAAGGAAGTATATGCATAATTTAACAAAGTAAATTATATAATATGTTGGAAGGTGAGCAGTACTGTGAAGAAATGCGATGCAGAAAAAAGTGGCTAGGGCTTTCTAGGTTGGACAGCGTTGCGACGGCAGAAAGGCCCACCGGGGAAAGCCTTTCGAGAGGTCTTGCAAGCAAAGACTTGTGGAATGTGGGTCAGCAAGCCATGACGACTTCTGAAATGGACATTGCAAATATTCTGAAGCAAGTGCATGCTTGGCGTGTTTCATCTGGGTGAGTAGTAGGAGATGTGTTCAAAGAAGTATATCTTGTAGGGCCTTACTGGGTTTAACCTAAGAAAGAGAAGTCAGTGGGGAATTGTTAGCGGAGTGATATGATCTGACATATTTTGACATGGCCACTATGCCTGTGCATTAACAGTAGAGTGGGGTGGAAGAGTGAGTGTAAGGAGAAGAGTTAGGAAACTAGTGCAGGAATACAGTTTAAAGGGTAGTAGCTTGTGTTAGAGGTGTAGGGTGCAGCCAGTCAGACTGATTAGCTTTAGAATACGTTTTGTTTTGTTTTTAATTTTTATTTTAAAGATGTGGGGTGCCATCCAAGGTTAGGTATACAAATGGTCGTTGTACAGGTAAAGTTTGGGCCTCACTTTGGTCCCCACGTCACCTGGTTTGAGATCAGGTACCTTTATTGATGAAATGTGTCCCCCCTTCCTCCCCTGGCAGTTTCCCACTACTGCCAATCCCTTTCTTATGGTATTATGATAATTGTTCAGGGTTCGCTTATGAGTGAGAACATATGGTACTCAGTTGTTTCTGCGATAGATCAGTGAGTATTGCAGACTCTGAATCCATCCAAGTTGCTGCGAAGTTCATAATTTTGTCCTCCTTTATGGCTGCATAATATTCCATCGTGTATATATACCACATTTTGAAAATTCAATCTACTTTCGATGGACAGCACTATTGGTTCCATGTTTTTGCTATTGTAAATAGTGCTGCAGTAAACATGCATGCGCGGGTATCTTTTTCATAGAGTGATTTGAGTTCCTCTGGGTATATTCCCAGAAGGGAAATTGCTGGATCGTATGGAATGTCAATTTTTAGATCTTTTAGGGATCACCACTGTTTTCCACAGAAGTTATACTAGTTTACACTTCCACCAACAGTGTAGAAGTGTTTCCTTTTCCCCGCATCCTCTCCAGCATCTGCTGTTTTTTGAGATATTGATGATGGCCATGCTGACTGGAGTTAGGTGGCAGCTCAGTGTGGTTTCAATTTGCATTTCTTTGATGACCAGTGAGGGGGAGCATTTTTTCATGTATCTGTTGGGTGCTTCTATGTCTTCTTTTGAGAAGTGTCTATTCATAGCTCTTGCCTATGTTTTAATAGGGCTGCTTGATTTTTCTTTTTGGTGTGTTTGGGTTCTTTGTGGATCCTAGATGTTAGACCTTTGTCAGGTATACAGTTGGTAAATATTTTTTCCCAGTCTGTGGGCTGTCTCCGCGCTCTCCTGATGGTTTCGTTGGCTTTGCAGAAGCTTTTCAGTTTGATGAGGTGCCACTTGTCTATCTTATTTCTTATGGCACTTGGGGTTTTGATCAGGATTTGGTTGCCAGTTCCAATTTTCATAAGGGTGTGGCCTGCATTTACCTAAGATTTTTACAATTTGAGGTTTTATGTTTAGGTCTTTGATCCATTTAGAATTGATTTTTGTGTATGGTGATAGGTAGGGTTCTTGTTTCAATCTTCTGCATGTGGTCAGCCAGTTTCCCCAGCACCATTTACTGAGTAGGTTCTCCTCTCCCCAGTGGTTGTTGGTGGAGGCTTTGTCAAAGATGAGTTGGTTGAGGGATTGAGGTTTTGCTTCCAGAATCTCTATCCTGTTCCATCGTTCTCTATGCCTATTCTTGTACCAATACCAGTCTGTTTTGATTATTGTAGCCTTATAGTAAAGTTTAAAGTCTGGAAGTGTAATACCTCCCACTTTGTTTCTTTTGCTGAGCATCGCAGAGTTCGTTTTGAAGCGAACACCAAAGAGATTTACTAACAACGTAGGCGATGAGAGGAGTGAAGGAAGAGTGGGAGGTTTTGGTCTGAGAAACTGGAAAGATAGTCATACCCGTAACTGATGTTGGAGATGGGGGAACAGATTTTGGGGGAACATAGTGAGTTCAATTTTGGACACGTTAAATCTGAGGTGGCCTTTGAACCTTTAAGCAGAGAAGTCAAATCATGGAAATGCAAATATGGAATTCAAGGGAGAAGTCTGGATCCAACACATATGTTTTTTTTAATATAAAAATGTGGGGTACAATTCAGGGTTAGGTATACAAACGTTGATTATGCAGGTACCCTTGTGGATGAGGTGTGCCCCTTCCTCCCTGCTTTAAGCCACTGACTGAATGAAATGAACTGAATAAAACCAACAAGAAGTTAGTGTGGTTAAAGAAGAGGATGGATCCAAGAAAGAGACCTGGAACTCTCCGATGTGAAGATGGGGAGATCAGCCAAAGAGACTCAAAGTAGGAGAAGGAGGTTAAAAGAAAATCAAGAGATACCAGATGAACATACTTCAATGAAGAGAGTCATCAACACCCGCTGCTACTGAGAGTACAATGTACATAAGGATTGAGAATTGGACACAGTTTAGCAAAGAGAAGGATCTTGACACGAGCTGTTTTCGTGATCAGTGGGCTACAAAGCTTACTGGGATTGGATTTAGGGAAAATGGAAAGGGAGTGTTTGGACCGTGAATATAGACAACTCCTTTGATAAGTTTTGCTATAAAAAAAGAGGGCGACATAGGATAACAACTGGAGGTGGAAGCAGGGCCAAGAGAGGTTTTCTGTGTCTGTGTGGGGGTGGTAGAGTCAGCATGTTTTTCTTCTCTGATGGGAAAGAGCCAGCGGAGGGAGGGAATTTCATGTGAGAGAGACAAGAGCAAATTGTTAAGAGAGAGAAGAATTGTAGAGTGCAGGTGGAGAGGTTGGCCCTCGTAGGGTTTATCCTTCCATTGTACTGGCAGTGAAGGCAGATACATAGACACAGATGCTGGTGGGTGGGTTGATGTCATCTGGTTGTCCTATTTTCTCCGTGAAAGTGGAGGCAAGGCCAAAGCGGAAAGTGATGCTGACAGAGGAGGGAGCAAAGTGCTAGGGAAGAGAGAGGAAGTAGTGTGCTAGGACCGCATTTGCTGTTCTACGGATTTGTTACCACCCCTCTCGCATGACTTGAAGGAGATTTGTTACATGAAGGAATACATCTGGCAAAATCAAGGTTACATACGTGAAAAATCCTTAGATATCAGAACTGAACTTTCCTAGGAAAGTTTCTTTCACTTCTTATGAGCAGAGTCTGGGAGTATGTGTGAGGGGGACCCCACAAAACCCGGAATTTATTTCTAAGAAATCGTGTGTTTTATTCCTACTTGTTTAGACTTCAGTCACCTTCAGCCTACTCTCCGTCTGATGCAACAGCCCTATTGAGGTATTTTTTCCATCGCTCAAAACAGTCTTTGGACTTGTCCGTTTTGATGCCTGTTAGTGCTTCTGCCATGTTTGGTTTCACCTCTTCCACATCAGCAAAACATTTCCCTTTGGGGACTTTTTCCATCCAGGGAAACAAAACAAAGTTGCTCGGGGTGAGATCAGGTGAATAGGGAGGATGGGGCACGGGGGCCATGCCGTTCTGGGTCAAAAGCTGCTGAACACTCGGCGCGGTGTGGGCAGGTGTGCTTATAAATCACCCACCAGGAGATGGGCAAACGCATTGAGGAATCTCCCCCAAAATGCACTGAAGCCCAACACTGCCTCTCACGACAATGCTAGCTGGTCCCCGGATGCGGATGGGTTCCTTGGACACTTACCTAGCAGGGGAAGCCTGTACTACAAGGTGCCCGCCCTTCAAAAGATAATTCCGGGTTTTTTGGGGGCCCCCGTCATATGTGTTTTTCTGGACATAAATATCTGCTGTTGTGCTCCTAGACAGAAGTGGATCATGTATAGTTTGCCATCACCCTGGTACACGATGGGGCAGACAGCCTCTTCCACCTCTGCAGGCCTCGCATTGTGTATTCCAGGCAGCTGTTGGCTCTGCCTGTTTGGGCCCCTGACCTACCATCATCCACTTTAACTCTTCCATCATTTGTTGAAAATGCTGGTTAATTGGTGCTACCCATCCTCTAATTTTATTTGATGTTGTAGACTCATTGCTTTCCTGTGCATTTACATCGGTAAATTCTCAAGGTACAGAAAGCAAACATGACTATGTTTAGCTTGTTCTTGAACCCAGAGAATGAAATTATTTTTAAATTACTTATAAACTATAATCCCTAAATAAATATTACATACATTTGCATGAGAGGACAACAGTGCTTGTAGCAGAGAAGGATGATTTGAGGCTGAAATAAAAGAAGAGAAAAAGTAGCAACGTTCAGAGAAACACATCTGGAGTATGTGGCTTGAGCATTTCTCCAGTTTGTTTTTTAAAGCTCTCTATAGACAATCACACCAATAATTAGTGCATACATAAAGCTTTACATTTTAAAGCCATTGCATTTTCTGTGTGGACAATAAGTATGGACATCTTTAGTAGAGAAAATGCTGGCAACATGACAGAGTGTGATGTCCTTTGGGACGTGAACCTCACTCGGCCTTTCTCTTATTTACATCACCCACTTTGCATTTTAAAGCAGTAATTTAGTGGTTACAGTATTCTTATTTTTATTGATGTTAAAGAGAAAGCCACGCTGGTGACAGCTTTTGGGCATAATAATGTGGATAGGCTCTGTAATTGATGAGTCCCTGGTGAGGAAGGTCTGTTTTCACAGCGTTCATTCTCCACATCATCAAGTTTGCACAACTCACACAAGAATGGCGCACAGATCAGCATGTGCATTTTGCGAACAACTCATGCCTCTGCCTGTGAAGCCAGCAACCCAATTTGTGGTTTCCATCCCTCTAGCCGATAACTGTCTGTCCTTCCAGAAACTACTTAAAATCTCCGAAACTCAGGATTGCTGTATGAAATATCGAGATAACAGTATCGGCCCCGACTATTTCACTCGTGGACGAGGGGCTTAAATATCTTCACAGACATGGACAATTGCTGTTTTTTGCCCCTCGTCTCCCTACTTCCTCTCCCCAGCATTGGAATAGTATTTAGTTTTTCTCTGCGTGTTTCTCTCCCTCCCCTCTTCTTGCGTTTCTAGATATTTTTGCACGGCAACAACCTGAACAGTCTGCACCAGCTAATTCACCCTGAGATCCTGCCCTCTGAGTTTGGAGGGATGCTGCCCCCTTACGACATGGGCACGTGGGCAAGAACCCTGCTTGACCATGAGTATGACGATGACAGCGAGTACAACGTGGACTCCTACAGCCTGCCCACAAAGGAGGTGGAGAAGGAGCTCTCCCCCAAGTCCATGAAGAGGTGTGTGGAGGTCGACAGGGAGGTGGCTTGGGCGAGAGCCGGGGTGACCCTTCGAGTCAGACTCCAGGTTTTGTGTTTCTCTGCATTTGCTTTTCTTGCTTTGCAACGCCTTTCACGGCCCTGTGATTGGATGTCTGGGAGTTTTGAGTCAAAGATTAAGTCATTGTTTTTGCAGTGATCACGTTTAATGTTTCCTCTCTTAGCGGTTTTTAATTACATAATGTGCGGTTATTAACGATTGTCACCTCGCTGCAGGATAGCTCTCCAGAACATATGCCTCCTGTCTAACTGAAACTTTGTACCCTTTCACTGATGTCTCAGTGCCATGTAGCTCTGATTCATGAGGTGGTGTGCCTGTTCTTTAGGGCTGGTCGCTTTTATGCTTCTGCTGTTATTATAGTCAGCGTGTGTGATGACAACCTCTCTCCAGGCTCTGCACTCTCATCGGAGAGAACGGAAAGGCCAGAAACTTTCCCTGCTGTAATGTTCCACTCGTTGGCAAGCTTATATTTAAGCCAGCGTTAAGTATCTTAACTCCCTTCTTTTAGAACAGAACTTCCTGAGATCTGTGCTCTCCTAAGTGATTTATGGATAGGCTCTCAAAGGATTCTGTTACGTACTAAAAGTTGTATGCAAAATCTCGCGTGTACGTGTCTGCATGAACTTTATATCTTTTGTGCATTTTTTCCCCTGGATCGAATTCTTAAAAAGTTTTCTAGAATAAAAATGATTAAAAGCAATTGTCAAAGAAGAGCTTTCTCCTAATAAAATAATAATCCTAGCGATAGTAGTTATGGTATTTTATCATTTACTGTGTACATATCATGATCTAGGCCCTCACTAGGTATCTTTTTAATTTTATATTAATGTGTTTAATCTTCACAGCAGCCCTGTTAAATAGACCTTGTATTCTCAAGGTTACACCATCTTTGCGCAGTGCAGCAAGATTTCAGCATGAGGTGTGGAATCTTCCATGTCTTCCATGTCATCAGGCTTCGTGAAGGCACCACACAGAGCCTCCTCTCTGTGGAACTGGGCTGTCTAAGGATCTGAAGCCACTCGTCTCCGTCGTGGCCAGCTCCTGAGACCCTTCCCATCCCTCCTGTGGCATGTCCGCCCATGAGGTCCCATCACGTGAGCCCATCTCCCCGTGTCCTCTATGGCCATGCTACCCACCGTCACCTGCCCTCTGCTTACCCAGCCCCCAGACTTTGTCACTGCTCTTGTTGATTGCAGCCTTGCCTGCACTTCTACCCTCATGTATGATCCACACGGCACTCCAGACGTCTTTAAGAGATCCATCAGATCATTTCACATACTGGCTTTCAATTTTTAGATGACTGCAGTGAATGAAGTCAACTCCTGACCGTGGCTTGCCAGGGACCACCTGATCTGACCCTGCCTTTCTTTCTCCTGCACAGGTATCCCACCTTCTCCCTCCTCTCCTGCCTTTCAGACACAAAAGTCTTCCCTTGGTGCCCTTGTCACCGCTTTCTGGAATGCTCTTTTCCTTCATCTTCACATGGCTGGGCACAATCAAAGTTCAGCTCCTCAAGAGACTTCTGATCTTTATCACCCACCTGGTCTCAGTCAGCTCTGCTTCCTTTCATTTTGGTCACTCCTTGCCACCACCTTCTTTTGCTTTGTTTTCTTTTTGTTGTTGTTGTTGTTGTTGTTTTTTGAGTTGGAGTCTCACTCTGTCGCCCAGACCGGAGTGCAGTGGCCGCTCCCGGCCACCGCAGCCTCGACCTGCTGGGCTCCGGCCATCCTTCCGCCTCAGCCTTCCGAGTAGCCGGAATTACAGGCATGCGTGACCATGCCTGGCTGATTTTTTTTGACTTATTGTAGAGATGAGGTCTCGCTGCCCAGGCAGGTCTCGAACCTGCGGGCTCAGGCAATCCACTCACCTCAGCCTCCCAAAGGCGCGGGATTGCAGGCTGAGCCACCGAGCCCGGCTTGTTTTATTTTCTTCATGGCACTTACAGTCTGTGAAACGACTGATTTTATTTAATTTTGTATCTGCTGTCTGTCCCCTAGAGACCATAGTGACATTGTCTGTCCTGATCTCTGAATCCCTAATGTCCAGAGAAGATCCTGGCACACAGAGGGTGTTCACCGAATTCTAGTTGGATGAACAAAGGGTGTTCTGGTGTCTGTCGGTGGTCCCCTCATGTGTAACATTCATAACTGATGGGTGACTACTGACTCTAATTCTAAAACCCTGGCTTTAAGAGTAGACCGCGCTGACTTCTGCCTGTGGTTGCTGTCCCTGTTGCTGTCACGTGGCAGCCAAAGCACGTTGCTGTTTCATGTCGGGCTCCCTAAAACTAGAAAGCTTCTTGACTCTCCAATCCATGCCTTCCTGATTCTCTCTTTCTGGGTTTAGTTTTTTCCTCCAATCACGTCATCTTAGTTGATTAACACCATCTTTGTAGATTTGGTCCACTCAATCCACTTGTTGAAGTCTTTTTCAGTCCAATTCTCTTCTCTAATTAATTAGGGTATTTTTTCCCCCTGCAGACTTGGCTTACAGGACATCAATGGCCCAAACCCCGAGTTTCTGGCTTCTGACATGAGCTGATTAGAATCTGAGATATGCCTTGTTTGGTGTAGCTCTGGTATCACTTTATGGCTCTATTGGAAAACTCCTGGAGAATGAGATTAAGAAAGTTGTTTCTCTTGATTCTCTTGTTCTCTATGCCAGGAAATGGCAGTCCCCCAGTAAGGGTGAGCGAAGATTGCTCCTACATTTCACCCTGACTTTCCTTGATTCTTTTCCTTTTTGCAGTTTTATATTATCCTTAAGTTGGAAAGGGACAAAGAATCAGCCACAGTTCTTCCTCTGGGTGAATTTAGCTAGGCATGTAAGAAGACAACTTGTCCTCCTGTGTAAATTTATGGAAAAAGAGCATCAACATGTGGAAAGGTAAAATTGATTAGACTGTAAGTATTTTAGAATTGGGGAATGTCTTTTACTTTCTATCTCCAGTACCTAGGATAGTCTCTGGCATATAACAGTTGCAGTGAGTGACAATATTTCAATTATTACGGTAATGTGAACTTCTGATGATTGAATATTGGATATGTTATTATTAATATTATATATTATCGATACTGTTTCCCAGACCTTTTTCAAATGCTTTGTATACATTGACTCATTTGTTTCTCAAAGCAACTAATAAGATAACACTATCCCCATTTTATTGATGGGAAGACTGAGACAGCGGAGATAAATGACTTCCACGTGTTGCATAACTACTAAGTAGCAATGCTAATGTCTGCACATAGGCAGTTGTGTTTCATGAGTCATTTGCTTAACCACTACCATCTGCCATGTGCCGGAATTTGTGCTCGGGTTTTTGTATGCATGATTGTATCTGATCCTCACTATCTCTGTATAATGCGAGTGTTATTGTCTCCATTTTGCAAATAAGAGAACAAAATTTTGCAGTTTAAATAGTGCTCTCATGATCACAGAGCTTGTAAATTTCTATTGTTAGTAACTGGAACTGGAATTCACTTTTTTCCGAAATCTTAAGCACGATGGTATTTATTATACTGCAGGCGCATAATAAATACACATAGAAGTGCTGGATACAAAAACTTAAGTTATCGCTTTTCTGGAAAGAAAAGCTATTCATTGCAAAGACGTTGGAGGCCACGTGGAGACCCAGAAGGTTTGTTCCAAGTTAAGGATAGGCAGCTCCCTCTGCCACAGCTGGAATAAGCCAAGTCATGAACAGTTAGGATCCTGCAGAAATAATCCTGTTCTTCCATCTAAAAGGGTTTAAAAAAATCTGGATGAAAATATCAGTAATGTGCGAACAACTGAATACCAAAAAAATTTTTAATTGCCAGTTGTTTCTGCCTGGCTTCTTTTCTGTGGTTGAGGAATCGTTCTACACATAGAACCAGCATTCATCACCCAACAATTCTAACATCTATAATGCATGATAAAAGCAAACCAGGAACTGAATTCCGGGTGGAATAGTACACTTTAATTTAAAATACTTTGTCAAAATTGTCATAGTCGCTAATAATATTTTTTCAAAAAACAGTCATGAAACATATGAAGTTAGAATGCTTATATATCTGTCTGTATTATGTGCTTTAATAGAATATTAGGGTCATTGCGAATGCTTAAATTATGTACCTCATGCTGTCTGAAGAGCTGTGGTGTGTACTCAGGGAATATTGCCAGCATTTACATAATAGATTTAATTTTATGAGAATTTTAAAATTTATTTTCTGTCAAGAATTGCTTCCTCCACTATCCTCATTGCTCTTCATTTTGAATGCTTATCACTAAAGTTCTTTCAATGTGGAAATTATTTACTGGATGCAAGTTAAGACATTGAGATCTTACTCTGCATCAGGCTCTGTGATACACATTGTTTTGAAATAAGGAAGGAAACGGATGCAGTCTCTACTATGTCGCTTATAGTTTAACTAGTGCCTTCCAGTTGTCAAGTGAATGCTTTAGTGCATTAAATGAACCTCTTTATGTTTTAACGTGGAATCATGTTGGGAAGCCACTTTTCAAGTTGGGTCTTACCGAAGAACCGTGTTAAAAGTTCTAATGACTAAGTGTCTTGCGCAGTTTTCCACTTTGTTGAAAAGCATCTTATTGGCCAGGCGCAGTGGCTCAGCCTGTCATCCCAGCACTTTGGGAGGCTGAGGCGAGAGGATCCTGAGCCCGGGGTTTCGAGACCAGCCTGGACAGCTTGGTGAGACCTCGTCTCCACAATAAATCACAAAAACTAGCCGGGCGTGGTGGCGTGCGTCTTTAGTTCCAGCTACTTGGAAGACTGAGGCAGAAGGATCACCTGAGCCCAGCAAGTCGGGGCTGTGGTGACAGTGAGCCTGTCACTGTACTGCAGCCTGGGAGACAAGAGTGAGGCTCCAACTCAAAAAAAAAAAAAGAAAAAAGAAAAGTACTTTATGTATGCACTTTTAAAAAAGGATGATTATACATTATTGCATTTAAAAGTTAAACAAAATCTCTCTTCTCTCTCTCTCTCTCTCTCTCTCTCTCTCTCTCTCTCTCTCTCTCACACTCTCTCCCCCCCCCTCTCTGTTCCTCCTTTTGTTTGTCTTCCTTTTTCCCTTGTCTCTCTGGAAAATGCACACACTTATATACACACATGGGATGTGAGTCAGTCCCCTTTCTGAGATGGGCATCTAATGCCTACTTAATATTGAGAAAAAACTAGTATAAATGATTTAGGAAACAAAATCTCCTTTTTTTTTAAAGGCTGTCACCTTCATTTTCATTCTGTCTTCAGAAACAACTTTTCCTTTAAACGAAGGAGTCATTTATCAGTTAATCCTGTAATTATTTTTTTCTTTGATAATTAGTTCCGTTGCTGTTCTTTTTCATTAGCATGTGCAGTTGTGTTTTAGCTTATGGTCTTTCTTTTCCAAAGTTAATGAGATCTGCTAAGAGGCATACTGCACAGCAAAAACCAATTGGCTGGAATGCAGCAGCAGGGAAGAGTTCATTACCAAGGAGAATCTTAAAAGGGCAGCTGCTTCCTTAATGCCGCAGCTATTAAGATGGCAGCTTCCTGCCACGACAGGAGCATGTTTCATTGATTTTCCTCCTTCCTGCGCTGATGTTGTTTCCCAAAGATAAATTGTGAAATAATTTTCACCTGCTATCAAAGGCATGTGTAAGCGGGGTTTCAAATAATGTGTTTTTCTGATCATAAAGAACCGTTACTTTCACAAGAGGAGGTTTGTTTTTTACAAGTCTTTAACTGTTTTGTGAAACTGTCAAGAATAAGGTTGAATTTATTTGGATGTTTTTGTAAGAATTTCAGCAGAATCACTGAAATTTTGATTTTTCTGTTGGTGCAATCATTGAAATTAAAAAAAATGTTGGCTAAAGAAAAACGCACTTTCATGTTGAATTTGTTTCATAGATGCCTTTTAGGCAGGAACTAAACCTCTTCTCGTTTCTACTTAATTTATCATAATAATCATTTCACTGTAGCATTTTTTTCCCATTTGGAGATGCTTTATCGGAAAACGCTAGAAATTCTCAATATCTCAAAGAAAAGAATCTTGCTCAATTGTGAGGAAGAGACCTTAAGCCTGTTTGTGTATATTTAGGATTCTTTGCTGCTCACTATTCTATTCAGAGGCCAGAGGGGATTGTTTTCCTCACTCCAATACAAAACACCCCCATAAGTGTTTTCTCTCTAAATGTGGAGCATCCACAGTTCATACATTTCTTGATGGAGGAGCAGATAATCCACATTCATGGGAGAAATAATGGCAACAAAATAATAATAATACCACAGAGAAGAGAATGTCATCTGGGTGATTATTTGGTAACACTGCACTCACCGTTGTCTCTGTCCTTTCTAGATCCCAGTCAGTAGTGGATCCTACAGTGCTAAAACGCATGGATAAAAATGAGGAAGAAAACATGCAACCTTTGCTTTCTCTGGACTAAGAACTTCTCTCCATCCCCTTCATGGATTAGAAATGGAAGGTACTGGTTTTCAGCAACAGGGACAGCACTGTGGAGGAACTACCAGCTGGAAACCTATTTATTCATGTTAATGTAGCATACTATTTAATAAAGCATCAGGCTTTCCATTTGCCTGAACCACGGGTGCCCTGGGCTGGATGGGGGGAAAAAAAGGTCAATAACTTCTGTAAGTGCCAAGTTCTCTGTAAATATAATGTAATCTTCACGTCAAGTTTGTACATTTTGGTAGCAATTTAATTTGGAAAAGATTGGCTCAAAAGTCCATGCCAGTGATATGAACTATAACAAAAAGCAGAAAAGATCCAAACAATCAAAGCTAATTAAATGTAGCCCTGTTTCCTATGAAGCCATATTTCAGCTATCATAGTGATTGTTTCATTGTTTTTCTCTGAAACTCTGTCGGTCTTGAAGCATACTTTTAATGGGCACAGGGAACTCAATGATTCTAGGAAATTATTGTGATTAATGTATTTTCTGTCTAGTGATTTTCATTTCAGAAAAAATGTGTCTTAGTGACTCTCATGGGCCTTGCATTTTGGAGATAAGGAGTGGCAGATGTGCTGCAAAACTGAACACTTGAACTCTTTTATGTTGTCTGATTTTCTGGAATCTTGCGAAATGATGTATTTCCCCAATGAAGATGTAGAATGGTGAAAGAGAGTGGATTCCTTTTAAACTGCTGTCTTCTCAATGTGCCCTTTATTCAAAACCCCATTGTTTTCCTGTCTGATGTAAGCTAAAAACATTTTCCCCCAAAACACTTTGACCAAGAGAATGAGAATGCATAAGTAAATAGTGTTTTGACTGTTACTTTGAACATAAAATTTGCCACTTATCGATAAGGGGCTAATTTCTAATTATTGTGCACTGGTTGAAAAATACATGTATGTTTACACACACAACATACATATTTTTACGAGCTCTAACGAATCCTTACTGTGACAGGCTTATAAAATAAATCATACATATTCAATGATCTTAGAGATGTTATAGATAATTATATGAGATGATAATTCTGGAAAACTTCCTCTGAAGTTAATGAAAATGAGAAATAATGAAACAGACTTTCAGTGTACCTATTTAAGGGAATTCCAATTTAATTTATAATGCAATCTTGAATATGTGCCATTTTATTTGTATTATATTTTTTCTTCAAAGGAGCAGCATGTCCCAATGAAGTGTAGGTGATATCAAGTGATAATGTGCAAAATATTGTTTTTCCCAAATTCAAGTTAATTTTCCTAATGATCCTATATGTACACGATTCTTTTCAGAAAAGATGGAAAGAGTAGATTGTGTCCAGGAGATATAATGAATTCAGCTGAAGGCATCTAAGATAGCATGTGATACGTTATAGCTAGATTTGAAAACTGTATATTATTTAAAATTTTATTTCGTGAAATTCTATAGCTGTAACACATTTTAGAAATCTTATTTTAAATTTCAAAGTGAAGAACAAGATTTTTATCACCTTTTCAGCATAATAAATTTTGAGGTTGAGAATTTCCTGTCAAAAAAAATTTTTTTGAAAGAAAAATGTCTCTAGGAACTCTTGGAAACCAACAGAAAGAAAGGCTTTTTAGCCAAAACCTTCACAAATTTCAGTTATAGTTCCACAGCCAAAAATCTTAAAAGCAAGATTAGTAAGCCAATGAGCAATGTGCCCAGGTACTGTCTGATATTTGTGAAAATATGTTAATTCGCATAAATGAAAGATATCTGAAGAATACCAAACGCCAGTCCACAGCAGAAGAATAAGGACTGTCAGATATCCACTCTCCCATGACCATGACTGACGTTGGAATGAGCTGAAGACAACAGTTCTTACTGAGATAAGAATCCCAACCACTGATGTTCTTATGTTTTTGTCTACCTGACATACATCTTATAGCTCTGGGCTTTATATGCCATATACTTATGCACTCGGCAGTATTATCCATTGGAATGTCGTGGAAACAATGTCAGTACAGGACAGTCAACTTTCCGTTCTCATGAGTTTCTCGCAATATGCTCCATTTATTGCCAGTTTTCAGAATCCTGCCCGTTTTCGGATGTCATTCAACGTCTTCAGCTTCTTTCCCTATCATAAGGTTAGTGTCAAATATAAAAATAACTAGAAGGGCCTATTTTATATGTATGCCTGTCTAAATTATAAGTATCACACTGTCTGCTGGCCCCGCATTTGGAAATTGTGTTGCATTGCCGCTTATCTTCAAATGAGCAATTGAGAGTTGGCTACATTGTATAAAATACTTTAAAATGAGTGAACAAATTACAACGAGGATGTCTTTCAAGATGCAGTATCTAATTCAGTCCGTGAATAAGCTCATTTTCTAGTGATGTTTTTGAACCTGCTTAGTCAAGGGATATTCATTCAGCTTTATAAATGTTTTCCTCAGCACCAGCTAGCTAACACAGTTTAGGAATTTTTCCTCTCGTGTGACAATCTGTGTTACATAGTATGTCTGTTGTTGTATAACCTAGTACATAAGCATCCTTACATTCTTTTATTTTAATTGTGTGTACACGTGCACACACACATAGAGACACACAGCTCTTTACCCTAATGTATCTGTCTTGCCACTTTGCTTTGCTTTTTAACGTATCTTGTCCCTTGCATTACAATTTGTGGACCTCAGAGAATCAGTGCGTTTGATTTGCAGCAAGCCAGTAGCCCGTTCACGCCTCATTCTTTCTGCTCCATCTTCTATCTCTGATATCTTTTCTTCCTTTCAGTTGTTTCAGGGGCAACTGTTTCCAAAGCTGGTTTAAAAATATCTTCTTATGTTGTCGGTGATATTTGCACACATTGTTTACTGCTATAGAAAGGAAGATATAATCATGAAAATATACTCTAAGAAATATGAAGAAGTGCCTCTTTAAAAATGGAATAAACACAGTGATACTGGCATATGCATTGTATTTGTACTCTCTTCCAGAAAGTAAATACATGCATCTGTATTGTAAGGGTGAACTATAGGTATCATTTGAAGAATATTTGAAGCCTTGCTTTGAGTCTGCTCATATTGTGTTAAGTCTCTGTTGTGTAAGTTAAATACAGTAACTTTAATACATGTTAATAACAAACCTGGCACTATACAAAAATAATATACAAGTATTAAACAGAGTTTTGCAAGCAAGTTTTTGAAGTGGGCATGCATGATTTCATTTATTTAGACACCAGTTTGCATAAGTATAGACAGAGACGTGTCTTAGGTCTTTTCATATAAAGTGCTTATTTACTTCATAGTACCAAAAATTCATGCATTGATAAGCAAGAAATCCAGACTCTTAAGTTCTTTTAATATTATTAACTAGGTCGCATTGTTAAACTAAAGATCTGAGGTTTCCACAGTATTCCTGAGGGAACAGATGCCCTTCTACAGCATCAAGAAAATGGAGATTTGTTTGAGATATTGGGGAGTATGTTTGTGACTCCACAAAAGAAAACCTTTAGAACCATGGAATGTATCTTCAGGGACTGGCTTCCTTTGCTTCTACAAATAACCAAAAGGTTTATGGACTTATCTGTGGTCCTTTAAAGAAATTACATTAAGAAAAGTTGCTGAGAGGCTGTACGTTCTTGTATTATTTTATTTAAAGGTCTATCTTGTCTGGTTGGTTAATAATATCTCTTTTGCTTCTATTTTTTGTGTATATTAATGCTTACTTGAAAAGTTGACATCAGCCATGAGGACATTTCAGAAAGAATTTCGACACACAAAATAAAATGAACAGAGCTCTGGCATGATGTTTGAACTTTCATATCTAGTATTACAATTTTTACATCAGTTAACTTCTAGGCACTCTTACATTCCATTTAGATCTGCTGTGTAGATACATAGCCTAAAACATAGCAGTGCATTTTACACTAGTGCGTCCATTAAATCACACAAGAATAGGCAGATTATATACAAATGGAATGGAGCAAAACACGATTGCTTACATCTCCAGGGTGTGCAATTATCTTCAATATTGAAAAGAATTTGTTTTCTGATTTTTTAAAATCTTTGTTAAAAAAACATCTTACCATATGCTATTGGAACTATTTGGCATGATTTACTAATGGACAAATAAGTGAAACTACAAAAGAGATTTGGCTTTGCAGCATTATTATATTACAATCCTAATGTTTTAGATAATATAATGTATTTTATGAATTTGGGTTTTTATTTTCATAAATATCTGAATACCCCCGCACATGAAAATAGTGCAGTGAAGTCTATTATATACTAAATATAGGAATGAAATCTCCTGGGTTGTAAGAAAAAATATAAAGCAGCAATTTTGTGGATTAAAACATTCAAACCGGACCTTTTCTTTTTCCAGAAGAAGAGGAATGCAAATGAAATTGCTGAAGTAAAAAAGAAAATTAGAAACAGAATAATTGTAGAACTTTACTACACTAAATGCATTCTAATGGTAAATAGTAAAAATTGTTACAATTTAGGTATTTTGTCACTATTTGACTTAGTTTTAAGTTTCAGTGAAAGTGTTTCTGTACTTAATGGTATCAACGCATTTATTCGGTCAAAATTATTTTTTTGTGCTACATGAAATATGAACCTAGATGAAAATCAAAATAAATTTTAACAATAATTTTACAAGTGAATCAATCCTCAACTATTTTGAAAAATTGCAATGGGCTATTTGTTTACATAGAACCAACATTCAAAGTACTGTCTTGGTTCTAATCCAGTTTGTCTATTTCACATTTGCTTTAAAACACAACTCAGAAAACCAAATCATTTTTTATTTCAATGCTGTCCAGGAAACAAAAACAAAAACAAAAGTCTCTAAGAGGAAATGACACAAGTCCTTGAAGAATACTAAAGCCATTATTTACTCTTTGGCTCAAATGGCATTACTGTTCACTCCTGCACACTTTTTACTACTGTACACTATTTACTATTTGACCTTTTGAGGGAATTATTTATTTGGATACAGTATTATAAGCAGTATAATATAATTTTTGAATAAGTATGCATTTGTTTTTTACAAAAATATTTATTTTGCATATGTTAGATGTTGAACTTGGTGGTCTTAGATCAGCAGCAACTGTAAAACAGAGATGTCTAAAACCTTCTTTAAAATTGACAACATGTTTTGAGAGGAATTATGGTTAGCTCTTTCAGTTAGGATACCTTAAATTTTCTGATATTTGATGTTTGGAGCTTAAAGTGGAAAATATATAGTAATTTGTTTCATTAAAATGACATTTTCGGTATTCTGTAACTTCTGGGCAAACCTAAAGGATAGTTTGAACATTTAAAATTACATATAGCAGAAGAATGATCAGCAAATAAAATAAGTAGGATTTTCATATTTCCACATAAAATTATTGAATTAGACAAGAGATTAAGTTCAGACATTTGAATTACAAAAAGCTTTGCTTTAAATTTAAAAAAAAAAAGCTCAGGTCAAAATATTAAGTAAAATAAAAGCCTGATCTGAGAAAGAATGCTTACTTAACAGATCCACTGAGTTTCTGTCATTTTCTCTACTTGTGGACAAAAAAAAAAAAAAAAAAGAAATCATCTAACAAGGTAAAAAAGACTCAACTAACGTACACTTACCTGGAATACTGTTCTGTAAACCTTATGAATTTATTTGGCCCAAGCTTGGATGATTTTCCTGTATATAGCTTTTGAGGTCATCAAGAGTCATTATTGCTGCTTCTTACTAACGATATGTCAGGAGGAACCGTTTTCAGCAGTGTCTGCAGAAGTGTTCTCATGGGAATGAACCCTGGACAACCACATGATGCAAGAAAAGCCAGGAATACAACCTCCATTCCTTGTTACCCAAAAGTGTATTCCTTCTTCAGAAAGATCAAGGAAAAGATATTTTTAATTACAAACAGAAAATTGTTTCAAAAATCAAGGGTTTCTGATATTGAGAGATAAGCACTTGACCAGGGAAGAGCCTATGGGGAGGTGAAGGTCAAGTCTATTGTGTTTCCTCACAGCAATGCCATCATCAAAACCTGTGTCTCTGAGCATCACTCCTTCCTCTAAAAATAAAAATAAGTATTCTCTCTTCTTTCTTTTCTAGTTGGTATTATAAAAGTATCCGAGAGAAACCATATATACTTCGTTGGCTTTGAAGAAAAAAAAATGCAGTGTTATGCACATATAAATATAATTCACTTAGTTGCATATTATTTAAATATTTGCATGCTGATTTATAAATTATTACCTAAAGTTTAAAAACTATAATTACGAGGCTTTAGTGCTAGAAAATTGTTAATGTTCTTTGTGTCTGGGATTCATGGAGAAGACAGGTACTATCCTTTTATCTGCATTCATGTGTCTAGCATTTTTAATTGACTGTCTAAGGGACATGTCACATTTAACATTTACAAACCAGACTTCTCCACTTTATTTATTTTTATTTTTTATTTTTTTTTGACTTCTCCACTTCAGCCCTGAACGTGCTTCCCTTTTAGTCTTCTCATCCAGTGTCAACTCCAACCTGATGGTTAGGACCAAAAGTGTTGGAGTCATCCTCTCTCCCTCTCACCACTGCATCTAGCCTGCTAGCTCCTACTGTTGGCTCCTCGTCAAAATATTCTTATCCTCTGACCACTTTTCCAGCCTTCATCACCACTCCCTTGGGCCAAGCCTTCAACATATTTCACCTGGAATATTTTCATAATCTAAAAACGAGTCTCCTGGCTTATACCCTTAGCTCCTAGAGTCAATTTTCAGCACGCCAATGAAAGTGAGTCTCTTAAATGTAGCTCAGATCGTTTCATTCTTCTCAGAACTCTCTGAAAGAGTAAGACCTGAAGTCCTTGCAGTGGTATACATGCATGGGTTGTTATAAAGTCAGTAAGCACCACCATACTGATTTCTGATTGGGCTGACGTTTTTGCCTGTACGATGCAGAAGTAGTTGTTAAAAGCTTTAATTTATTGCTTTGGAAGTCCTCTCACCCTTGACCTTTTCTGGGATCATCTCTTAAGAATCTCTCCTTAAACACTTTGCCACGCTGTTATCCCTGCTGTTCCAAGAGCTCATGCCTGCACCTCAGGACTTCTCCACTTCTGTTCCGTTTGCCTCTTCTCCCAGTCATCTCCATGGTTGATTCCTTCTTCTCCTTCAGATCTTTGCTCAAATGTCTTCTTCTTGGTGAGAATTCTCTTTCCCAGTTATAAATGAAAGAGCCCTGTGGGGCTTTACATTCTCCTTTTCTGCTCTATTTCTCCTCCATAGCATTTATCGCCTAATATATCATATAGTGTATTTATTTTATTTTGCACTTTTCGCCAGTAGCATTTGAACTCCACAAGAGCAGGGGTCTTTGTCTGTCTGTTTATTGTTGCATTACCAGTGCCTTGAACAATGCATGGAACTTAGTAGCAAATAGAAAAAGGTTTTATGCTCTTAATTTGTTTCAGCAATTCATATCATAGCTAATAGCATGCATTAAAGGAGAGTTTCTTATTTTCTTAATAAAATCTTGTTTTTAATCTTCAAAGGGGAAATTCTACTCTTGCTGATGAAAATGGACTCATAAACCAAAAATTATATCCCCTTCTTTCTTAATCTGGTCTCTATCTCAGAGCCTAAATTTTTCATCAGTGTTTCAGGAAATTACTCACAGGTCGTCAGGCCCTGTATCTATTATATGCATGACTTACTCTTTGAGAGACTGCAAGATACCTCAGATGAAAGTCATGTTAAGATTAAAACCATGGTGAATTGTTCTTTATTGATTATCCTGGTTAATATCAATTTTTTAAAAAATGCCAGGAGTTAAAAGACCATAATTCCTTTAATTTAAGAAGCCAGTTTGAGAGTATATTCCTTGATAGTTACTTTTACTGGAAAGAAGAGGAAGAGGAAAAGGGGGGGGAAACTGTGATCACACCTTCTCTGCAACGATTATGAGATGAATGAGAAAGTATTTCGGTGTTTCTAAGATCTTTCCATGATTTAGAAATCTATATTTTACATCAGTTTAGTCTATAAACTCTTCTAACAGAAGTCTTACATCAACTGGGTTTTATATTCGATATCTTTAAATTTTCCTATGTTGTAAATTTATAGTACTGACCCAAGACGATGGGAGTTATTCATGTTCATATATTCTAACTTACTTTCTAACTTCTCCCTTCTCTTATTTGAATTTCAGGTATCATTTTCTGAACCTTCTAATCACACTTGCTCTTAACATTCTCAATTTGTAGTGAAAAGTGTTTGTAATCATAAGTTCAAATTAACACAGAAAAATACAGAGAGGATAGCAAAAAAATCATCTCATATCATCTCACAACCCCCAATAATCCAAGTTAACATGGGTTGAACATTACCCCAAATACAGCTTCAATGAAGAGACTGAAAAGACAGATCAGTAGTTATGTAAATAGATAGGCCATTCCGTTGATCAATTTATATGCAAGTAAACTAATAAAGAGGCCCTAGCATTCATGTTCTTTTAAAATAAAAAGTATGAAAACAACTTTTATTTGAATTAAAGAGCAGAAAGGAAACTAAGATAAATTAAGAAATTGTTCAACTTCTAGTAAATATTACTTTGTCAAACAAGTTGCTATTTGAAAAGATCCCCTTCAGTTTAAGAAAAAGTATGGCATATTAAGAGGTGTATTTTTTATTTAATAATCTTGTTGATTTTAGAGTATATGTATTGATCTACTGCAACGAAAGAAGTGTTACTGCTTTAGAAAAGACCTCCAACGAAATTGTGATTCATAGTGAAAACAGAAAACTTCCTTGTCTTGCTTCTTATTACAGGACACCCCATATTTTTATTGGACTGACTTCTCCAAAATTTCAGTATTTTAGATGTTGGTTTCTGGTATGATAGATTTCTGATTTTTATACTTTGCAGTTTATACTTTTATTCTTACAAAACCTATGTTATTCCTGTTTCTCCAAGGCATTGTTTTGATTTTATCTACAGTGTAATGCAGTAAGTCTCCAGTTATATAATCTCCTATGAGGTCTTCTATTAAAAAGACACTGAAAACAAAAGATTGGTAGGTGATATTAAGGAAGGAACTATATAACTTAAAGAATAAGGATAGATGTTTGAAAATATTTTCAGAAGTCAGTCAGTCTTTTAGTGGCTTTGTGATGGTCAGGGGTTGTGTTTCTCTTTGTGCATATAAATATTATATATGTATTTATGTAACTTGTCATAAATACATTATATAAATACATTAATTGACAAGTTACCTAAACATAGTAAGTCCCCTACGTATGAATGAGTTCGGTTCTGAGCGTGAATTCCTAAGTTCAATTTGTATTTAAGTTCAACAGTGGTAGCCTTAGATACCCAACTGACACAATTGGCTGTGTAACACTGTGCTATAATAGATTTATAATACTTTTTACACAAATAATACATAAAAAACAAACACAAAAATAAAGCATTTGTGGTATTACAGTACATAACCTTGAAAAGGATACACACCCATGACAATGTATGCCAGGCACATGAAGTAACATGTGATTGGACATGTGAATGCATGTTTGCATCTTTGGAAGTTTGTAACTTGAAGATTCATATGGAGGGGACTTACTGTATATGGCAATCAGGGTTAACATAATTTGGAAAACTGTCTCTAAAGAACAGACTAATAACTCTTGCTCAGGAATAAGGCAGAAAATTTTCTTGTGTTTCTTACTATTTGATCTTTGGCAGTCTGAACAAGTGGAAGCCACTTGCCTCTGTGACATCCTTTTCTGCCAGTCTTTAAAATTGTGTTTAGCATCACTTCAGAAATAAAGAAGTCAAGCTCAAATATACACAATACATGAAAGATACTATAGTTCATATTCTCTTATATTGAATTGTGTTTCTTTTCATAATTAACTTTTAAGAGTGAGTCGGAAGAATATATTCCTTGGTAAACTTTATTAATTATTTCCACTTTATAATGGATTTAGAAATTTTATAAAGCAGGTCATTGTTTATTGTATTCATAAAACCATTATGTCAACATTTGATTTTGTTTTTAAAGAGAAATTATTTCATTGTCTTTGTTGATATATATGGAGATGAATGAAGTTCTGTTAAATAAAATGTCACTAAATGAAATTTTAGATTCAGAAATGTGGATTTGTTTATGTCTTTAATTTTTCATCATAAACTAAACTGTAAATTTAGAAACATTATATCAAGTAGCTATGAATAAATTTGTCATTAAAATATAGAGACACATGAAAGTCGTGTTAGTATTTGAAAGCATAAAAGGCTTTTAAAGCTGATTTTAAATGCATGGCTATAGTGTAATGTTACTTGGTATTTATTGTTGATTTTATATTTTCTAAAATCAGTGTGAACTCCAAATTACTAGAAATACCTTCCTGACTTCTATAGTGATAGAATGGAGTTACAAGACAATGTCAGTTATAAAATCTTCCCTTTAATTCAGTGGGGTAGATCGAATGATGATTTCAGCTTATTTCATTTTTTTACGTTAACAGACTTATTGAGCACTTACTATATCACGGATACTATACTGGCAGCACGGGGGTGAACAAAACAAAACCCCTGCCCTTCTGGAAGTTACATTTTAGTGGAGAAGATGTACACCAACCAAGTCAGTGTTGTCAGTGCCATGAAAACTTACTAGTTTAATTGTGTGACCTCTGGCACTGTGTCATCTCATCTGTAAAATGAAGTAATAATGTACTAACGAGATGAGCTGGAATTGCTGTGTATCCTCTTGACAGCCTGGCTCCTTCCTTTTTATGGAAAAGCCTAATATAATCTCCCTTATCCATGTTATTTTGGGGATGGCTATTGGGGTCTCATGGCTTCTGACTTTCTGCTCAGAGCTGACAGTGGTGCCAGGGCTGTAGATGCCCAGGGCAAATGCATCACATCGTCAGTGTTTTTCAGGGTCCTCCTGAGGTACTGGCTCTTGCAAAATTTTGTCTCTTAAGGTAAATTCCATAGTGTTTAACTCTTTATAACTGAAAAATGAACACTGATTTTCTACCAGAAAAGAAGACAAAAAAGAGCTAAAGCTAGAAATATTCCGATTGCACAATTTAATCTTTCCATTTAACGGTTATTTCCTATGATCCACAAGCAGAACCACACACTTCTGGTTTTCATTGATGACTTTGAATATATTTTATGTTGTACAGTTGATGGAATCCCCAACTGTTGTGGTCGCAAAAGATGCTAATTGAGGTAGTATTAAAAGGATCATTTCCTACTGGTACGTGAAATGGATTGAGAATTTTTGCAAAAGGGTTATATTAAAAACTACCGTGAGAAATTCACCAAGGGAATAACGAGCAGAATAGAGGAATGCCGTGAATATTGATTGTAACTCATCTAGGAGGAGCCGTGAGCAAATGAAAGTTTCTTTTAGGGAACAAGCCAACAGATTACATCTGTCTTAAGGAAACGTGGAATTTCTATTCATACAAAAATCACTAAAGGAGACTGACTATGTTACTGCAGGCTTGAGGCTATGTTAAGAAACACAAAAATGGATTTTCCATTCACATCCTGATTTTCATAAAGAAATACTTCAGGCCACAAATGATTGATTCATTAGATTTATGAAGACAAAACCCCAAAGTGTCTTTTGTGGTCATAATAACGCTTCCTGTTTCTGGAGACAGGAAGGTCTAGATAACATTCAGATGGCTTTTTTTAATGAACTGATTTATTAATGAAGTCTTTATTAGTTTATTTCCCTCCCTGATTGTGTACTGAAAATTTAAGTCAATCTCTAATAATAATACATTGTGATTTTGCACAGCTTATTTCCTAACAGTTATTTGCAAGCATTTTTCTAGAGCAAAGAATTTTTAACTTTATTTTGTCACATTGTTCTTTTGTCATTTAATGGACATTATAGAATGTTTAATAGTTTTTAACTATCGCCTCAAAAATAGTAAAGCAAACTCTAGAAATAATTCAATAATTGTTTAAGAACTGGAAGTATCTAAGCACACATGTCTTTAAATTTAGGACAATTAGGAAATTTGGCAACTATTCAACATATTTGATTAATGGAGACTGTCAAACTGATAAATATCAACTCATAAAAGACTAAACAAAGCACCTCCTTGTTCTTCCTTACCCCAACCGAAAGCTACTTCTTTTCTCGGTTTGGCAATAAAAAATGCTACAGCTGGAAGATCTTTTTGAAATTGGACGATTCAAGTCTTTTATTTTATTAGTATGTGAATGAAGACCTATAAGGTCTGTCTTGGTAAGTCACACAACTAGTTAAGAGAGATTCTGGTCCTGGAACTAAGGTCTCAACCAGTCTAGTTATGCTTTATTGCTTTTAATAACCTCCCCCTGGCTGTCCTAAACTTTTTTCTATCAAACTCTGTTCTACTGGTATTTGACCCCATTTTGTTTTCCCTTTACTGTTAATTCTGCTTAGAATTATTCATTATATTAGATAAACATCTATCTACTTATGCAAATGGGGTCACGCTCAGGAATCTTCCCGTTAGAAACAGATTGTACATATCCACCACTCCCAGCCTTACAGGATTTTAGCAAGCAATAGTTTGGGGATAAGCCTAGTCTGGTGGGAAGGTAAGATTTCATCAGGCCTGTGTCTACATCAAATGACAGTCACTCAGGGAAGGCGATTTTCTTGTGCTAAGAAGCACGTGCTCCCTGCCCAAGAGAAAAAGAAAATGTTTTGTCTGCGGGCTTTCACTCCCCTTGCCAACAGCCTTTTTTGGGCCCACCGGAAGGGAAGCAGCTCAACACAGCTACTGGAGTCAGCTCTTGACTTTCTTTTCTGCATCTGTGGATGAATTTAAGGCAAGTAGGTGGCCAGGATGTTGGACACTATTCCTGTCGTGATAGCTGCCAAGCTACTGTGCAATGTATCCGAGAGCTCTGGTACTGCAAGGGAGAGAGAACTTCCCACAGGCCGATTCAGGAATCTGCCCTATTAAATTAACTTATCAAATGCTTTTCTCGCAGGATTTACAATTGTGATTAACAGATAGGGTGTGCCCAAGTCTTAAAAAAATTGGGGAGAGATTATAGCTCTTAATAGATCGGTTTAATCTAAGCATATGAAAATATTTAATTAGGTACTCTACAAGGGAATAAAAGGATCCCGCATCAGATTTTACCTGAGATCTTCTTAGCATTGCTATTGTTGAGTTTGGAAAAGGGTGGCCGTGGAGCTACTTGGTTGTTATCATTTTACCTAAAATTTTAACTGCTTTTTCTATGGTTAAAAACAATGTGTAAAAAAATTGTATTAGACCCATACTGAAGGTATAAATGTGAAACAGAGTCATACACCTTTAAAATAATGCATTTTTAAAATGCTGTATTTATGATGCTATTCTATTCTAAGCCGAGGGTAATCTATTTTAAATATGATTTCTTTCTGAGAAAAAAAGAAGTTACGGTTAAAAACAGCACAGCTCCACACATCATACCATGTACTATAAATTCCAAATGTATTCAAAATTTCACATATGAGAAACAGGAGACCATAAAAATCACCGGTACAAAGCATGAAAGAATGCCTTTATACTGTTACTGTAGGGGAATTCGTGCCTACGATTCACATTCAAAAAATAAAAATAAATTTGATCGAGTGGAATTTTAAAATTTCTGCATGGAAGAAATCACAACCAAAGCCAAAGACAACTGACAGACTGGGGAAAATGTTCAATTCATATTATAGACATAGAGTCAATATCTCAAATACATTAAAAAGCTTCTAGGAATTAATAAGAAAAGAAAAAAACTTAATAGAAAAATAGACAGCTGATACGAACAGATGGCTCACAGAAAAGAAAATATAGTGGCTCTAAAAATAAGAAAAGACGCTACTCCATACTCAAAATGAGAGCGACAAATTCAAACTCTGCAGTAGTTTAATAACATGCTTTCTTAAAGAGACTGAGGGAAAAATCCCTCACATTACTTTTAGCAGAATACACTGATATAATTTTTATAGATGACAATTTAGCAATATCGATTAAAACTACTGTCAAAAGTATCTTTTGAACCAGACATTTTACTTCTAGAAATATATTCTTCAAACATATTTGGACACTTGAGAAATTTATGTACAAGGATTCTCATAGGTAATGGCAAAAAAAAAAAAAATTGGGGAAACTAAAAAATGTTAAAAATATATAATATAGCTATAGAGAAGGTACTATACAAATATAACCTGCAAAAAATGATATGGTCATTCCAAAGTATACTATAAAAATCTTTAAAAGTGAGAAAACACTTTATGTACTGAAATGAAAAGTCTCTAAGGCATTGCAGAAAAAAAGCAAGGTATAGATACTGTGTAGTATATGTGACATTTCATGTAAAAATGAGGGAACAAAAATAAATGTTTATATTTGTGTATTCTTAAGGAAATGCAGAAGGTTATGAAGGGTTAAATAATTTTGGTTATTTGCTGGGAAGGGTTAGAACTTGGATAAATTGTGTCAGAGTTAAGAAGGAAATTTTCACTTTTCACCCTCCTGCAATTTTTTAAAAATTGCTGAGCTTTGTGAATGTGTTATCTACTGGAAAATATGTATATTTGAGTCAGGATTTCACTCTGTCATCCAGGATGGAGTGCAGTGGCATGATCATGGCTTTCCCCAGCCTTGACCTCCTAGGCTCAAGCCTCCTAGTAGCTGGGACTACAGGTGTTTGCCACCACGCCCGGCTAATTTTTTGGATTCTTTTGTAGAGACAAAGTCTTGCTCTGTTGCCTAGACTGGTCTTGAACCCCTGCCCTCAAGCAATCCTCCTGCCTTGGCTTCCCAAAGTGCTAGAATTACAAGCTTGAGGCACCATGCCCAGCCAAAAATATTTTTTAAAAAAGCTTAAGAATCTTTTATTGCCTTACATCATTTTGGCATTGCTAGTAGTTTAGTTTGCTGTGTGTGTATATGTGTGTGTGTGTGTGTGTGTGTGCCTGTGTGTGTGTGTATACAGAAGGACTGTTTATATGTTCATGTATTCACATTCAGCCTAGGATACAAGCCACTATCAATTGTTTCAAATCCTCTTGCATGTCTCCACAGCATGCCTTCCGATTTCTGCTTTAAAGTTAACTATCCCATATTATGTTATTATC